CATTCAAAGCATCAAGAAAGTTTTCAGTTATAGTATTGATTACATAGTTTAAAAAAGCAAACCTTCAGTTCAGATTGCAATATCTGAAAGATGAAATTGAAGATTAGTCAAAGGTGCACCAYGTGTTCATCATAGCCCCAAGCTACCCTGTCTGCCGCTACACGTGTGAAATTTAACATATCCATTTATTCTAAATGGAATTCAAGAGTCTTCCCATGGCTTCTCTCAAGTATATTTTAAARCACTTAGAAACTGCTTGCACAGTACATAAGCTACAATTTCTACTAAAAATCAGGAGTGTTGAACAGCTATAGACAACACATCATCTAACATAAGGAGCAAGTTAATATTCTGTTACAAAAATATTAAAACTTCATCTATAAAAGATACAGATTTTACTTAACACCTATTAACTTTAGATACTAGGGAGAGCAAGACCAATTAATATATTAAAGCAGGTCACAATAAATAATAAGCCACAACCAASAGGAAACCATGCCAAACATAATGTAACAAGTAGTGTGCTTAGTGAAATTAAATTACTAGATAAATACCTGAAACACTAGCTTGTTTCATATTACACCAATAGGGATACAGAAAATGATAGGAAAAAATAGGAAGATCTCAAATTCCTTAGCTGCAGGAGTGATATTAAAACACTACCACAAAGTTAACCGGCATGTCTGATGCTTGGAAGGACCTTCAGTTTGGAGCTGGAAATGAAAAAGTAGCTCTCCTTTAATTTCCCATATGCAAAGTAAATCTAGTAYAAACATTGGTTGCATACACAAAGATCCTTTGAAATTAAAAGCAGAGTAAATTTCAAGTTATTCCATTAACGGAGGCCAGCTGGACAAAACTCGCTTCTCCACTAATCCTTTATCGGCATTATGTTAAAGAAAAATTACTTGATATAATCTTCAAAAAGACCTTTAAAATACATCTGAGCCACTGATGGCTGAACCAGTGCTTTTCTCCCTAGCAACACAAAATTTATTACCTCCAATATSTTCGACAACTCCTATAGTGCTATATGTCGTATATTATATATATATATATAATATTTATTTTATGTATTATAGGAAGAGCAGAGGTATGTGTTTTTTTCTCACCATGGGTGACCCTCTGCGAGCAAAGGTCCCAGAGAAATGGACACGGGCTGCACAGGGATCCAGCCCAGCCCAGTTACTGCTGCTCGCTCCCCGGGCACAGCACTGGCAGCCGGCGCGGCCCCGCAGCACGGCCCGCAGAGCCCCCGCACCCCGCGGCCTCACACCCGCCGGGCCCCCCGAACCCAGGGGCTCCCACACCTGCTGCCCTGCCATGTTCCACAGCCCCCGACGCCCCTTCCCCAGCCCCTCTCCGCGCAGGGCTCCCCCGACCGTCCCCCCCCGCCGGCGAGAGCCTCCCGCGGTCGGACCCTGCTCCCGCCCCGGGCCGGGCCCCCCGCGCCCCTGAGCCCCGAACCGCCCCCCGCCCGGCCCGGCTCCCCGCCTGCCCCGTGTGGCCCTTCCCCCGGCCCCCGCGGGCCCGGCCCCCTCGCCCCGCTCGCCCCGCGCCCTCCCAACATGGCCCCCATCCCTCCCTGCCTCCCTCGCCCTCCGCGGCGCCGGCCTCGCGGTTACCGAGCGGCGGCGGCGGCGGGAGGCCGGGCGGGGGCGAGGGCGGCGGCAGGCCGGGCGCCGGGCCGCCCCGCAGGAAGGACGGCACGAACTCGGCGGCGTGGACGTTGGGCACGAACGGCTTGGCGTTGACGTTCAGCTGCCGGCTGAAGGCCGCCCCGAGCAGCTCCTGCTGCGCCTCGGCCTCCGCGGCCGGCRGGGCGCAGCCCGGGCCGACGCCGCTGCCCGGCTCGATGTCCGCCTGGTCCCAGCAGTCGGGAGCCGAGTCGCTGCTGCTCCCGCTGCCGCTGCCGTTCGCCTCCATTTTGTGGCGGCCCCACAAGGCTCCGCGGCCCCGAAGCGTCTCCCGGGTGAGGGGGGAGCCGGCGGCGGCACCGACTCAGCACTCGCTCCGCCGATTCCGCGTGTGCTCCGCCGCCCCGACGCGAGCGCAGTGTGGCCTCCCGGGCCGCCGTACCCCCTCCCGGCAGCCTCTCCTGCCGCCATCGCAGTAGTTTTTATCTGCCCCGTCTGTCCTACCGCTGCACGGGTGAGGTGAGGGAAAAAAACTACAACACCCGTCATGCCCCGCGCGYGCACCCTCGGCCCGCCTCCCCTGGACAGACGGGAAATGGAGTTGCCTGCGCTCCCTGCGCACTTGAGAACTGCAACTCCCGGCAGCCCCCGCGCCCGCCGAGAGTCCCTGCGGGCCCGCCCTCTCCTCCAGGCGGACGCGGGACACTGAGGCGGCGCGAACGCCTCAGGCGGGACGGGAATCGCCTGGGTCGGCTTCCATCGGTGCAAAATTGCCCTGAWCCCATCCTAGAGAGCAGAGGTGCACAGACACAGGACACTGGTGGGATGGGAGGCGCCCGGAGCAGCTTCTGTCGGTCCAAAATCCCACGGGAGCCGTCCAGGACAGAGGCGGCACCTGCGCCGGCTCGGCAGCGCTCCCGGGAAGCTGTGGGAACACGCGCCCTCACGGGATGCAGGAGGGAACGCTGCCCTACCTGTCCAGCCAGGAGTAGACAGGATACATGCAAAGTTCCAACTTTGGCCATTCTACAGGACCTTCTGACTTGGTTGTTATCATTTAAGAAACCCTATCCAGTTAAGCCAGAGTCAGTAGAACTTTCCAAATACAGAGGCCCTCAACTGGTATGACTCTTAGAAGTTTTGGAAACAAAATTTCAACAAACAAACCCAAAAAACATTGCTTGAAGTTAAGGATATTTGGAGGAAAAAGGCAGATTTTGGTTATGGGGCTGCTCGAGGCTGTGACAGCATTTTGTCTCCTAACGTACAGTGTGTTTATAACTATACAAAGTAAATACTTGGGACAAGGGGGTTTCTTGGAGTGCTGACATGCAAGGACCRAGTCATCTGCAGCATTATTCATATTAGAACACTGTAGGACAGATTGCAGAGTTATTTTGGAAGCAGATGGGCTTAGAACTAAAAATGAAAGATCTCCAAGAAAAAAGAGAAAGAATCCAAGGCAGTTTTGGTTGGAGAGCAAAAGTTAACCTGAAGGGGTGTGTGTGTGATGCGATCCTGATGAGAACAAGAGGGTTTCTGGCTGCACACCAGCAGCAACATGTGGGCCCTTGACAAGCAAAAACTTTTACATGTGTTAATGGGAATAAGGACTTCCAACTGATCATATCTAGGGGAAACAACTACTGTGAAGGGCAGCACTCATAAAAGAAAGAAAAAAAAGAAAAAAGAAAAAAAACCTCCCCCCTAACACGTCAGAAAGTTTCTTTTGGAAGAAAAAGTATCACTTATAATGCAAGACTAAAAACCTTTGTTAAGTGGAAGCCTTTCCTTCAAACACCACCAAGAGCTTACCTTCACCAGAGCCTAAGGAGTGAGTTTTAAAGATCTTGTGAAAACCACTCTCTAGTTGTTCTCCAGCACAGAGTTACTTTCCAGACAGTCTCTGTTTTTCAAATTGAGAGTAATTAAGGAAGTCTAACCCTTGCCAATATTTAGAGTTTTGTCAAACTACAAGAAAGTGTCAGCTGTACATGGCAATCATGTTTCTGTTTAACAAAAAGAAAAGTAGTATTCAGAGTGTTGTTTGGGTTTGTTTTCTTTTAGTTTAACCTTTTCTTGTTAGGTGACATTTGTTAACCAGGAGGTGCGTGATACATTTCATTTAGTATGGAAACAAGGTAACACCATTTCAAACAGAGGAGCTTATGGGTTACTAGGGTTGAATAATACAAAAAACTCCAGTGGGAAGCAAGCTGCCCACATTCTGCTGAYAGAGTGACTTGTTGCTGAACACTTTTCACTGTCACTGTGAGCATTTAACAGCTCAGGTTTATAATGACTGCAATGCTGTAGTGCAAGCTTCTGTTTTGTTTCAGCCCTGGCACAGCCTACAAGTCAGGAAAGCCTTAACTGGAGGCAGATGCTGCATTTTCAGAGCAATTGAGACTTACTKTAAGATGACCACCACACAGAACACAGAGACAACAATTCTTACACACATTTTGGAATTCCTTAAAAATTTTCTTGAAAGTTTTTTAAATGGAGCTTCTTTCTGATGGCTCCTGAATTGCCAAGTTGTGATACTTCTTTTTGTGTGTTGGAGGGGGGAGAAACAACAACTGGAGCCAAATATATGCTTGATCAGAGGTGCAGAAGTACATATTACCACTGATTTCAGAGGAAAAGAATTAGTTGTGTTACTCAACCTTTCTTCCTTCCTTGACAGGCATTTATTCCCTAGGTACTTACTAGGATATAAACAATTAGTCCACAGAATTTCAGAAGATGCCAGAAGTCCTTCAAAGTGTACAAACCTGTTTTGCAGGCTGTCACGCATAGGAATTGTGTAAACTCAAACACTAAATTTTTAACAGGGCTAGTAGTTTGTTTTYCCACTTAGGAACAGCTGGTACTCAAAACAAAACCTAAGTGGAATTACGATAATTTTACTGGCAAAATATCTACTGGAGTGTAAATGGTCCTGTTTGCTTGAAGTTTTAAAGCATTATAGAAACTCTTGTTTAAATCTCTTAGCACATCAAAATGTTTAGAATAAATATACTACCTCTTCATTTAATAAATACTGAAATGCTTTTCTTACTGAGAACCACCCATATAAATCCATCCTCACATCATGACTGAAGTGATCAAAACTGCTTWGAAAAGAGGAGTCTGGCCCATGTTAACATGGGAGGAGTGGGGTGCAGAGAAATTGTCCCCCACCACAGATRCAGTTCTACCATCCTTGTGCTGCTTCCGAGCTGTGTTAGACCCTGTGCTGAGTCTGTCCAACTCATTRAATTTAGTGACAAAATAATCCTCTTTCATTTTCCTCCCGGGCCACTGAGATGAATCAGCTAGGAGACACATGACAAATGCCAGAGCTGGTGTAAAGTGAGAATGGGGAACAGGACTTACTTTTTGGTGAGAGCAAGTTATTTATATAATAAACTCTCCCAAGGCAGCTTCACCACTATTTTGCAGGGTGTGGTGAGTGGGTCCTGTAGCAGTGAAATGGAGGACCCCTTTATATGACATTAGGAACAGTGTCCTGTACTTTGGTTATAACTTCCACCCAAGGTTCTYACTTTACCCTGGCAGGTTCACCCATGAAATACCAGTGCTTTAGCCATGTAAACTGAACAGAAGAGAAAGATGTGCTTCACTACCAGGGTAYAAACAGGTTAAGAGCTTCAAGCAGTTCCTTGCTCACCACCATCAGGTAAGTTTATTAAACTCCATAAATTATTAACAGCCTTAAAATGGAGGGAGARTTGTTTTAGGGTACTGGGTTATGATTGAATTGACTCAGTTTACCTTGACACCAGGTAACTTCCTGAGCTACTGCAACATGGGAAAAAGCCTTTTGGGGCTGAGACTGGGAGGAGCAGGAAAGGAATCTAACTTCCCTTTCTGGTGTGGCAGCAAGCTGGACTCGAATGACGCACTGTGAGCCGTGACCTGAAATTTAAAGGTATTCAAATATGTACAGTAATGCACCTAAATGAGTAACCTGTTATTTAGAATTGCTTTGAAGTCAGAAAGAGCCTCTAAAAACAAAGTCAAAGGAACAAGTTATTTACTTAGGAGGAAGAGAAGACAGGAGGCAAGAGGTAAATTATTAGAAGTTTGACTCGATGCCAGGAGATTATTAATTAATATTCTTAAACTCTGGCAAATTCTCTTTCCAGGTAGTCTGTGGAAATGCAGCTGAGAACTGGAGAATAGAAAACAGAACTATGTTTCTTCATGATGGCTTTGTTGAGAGCCAAGCATATCCTAAGCTTTACTATTGCTCCTGGAAGTGAATAAAGAGGCTTTTATATTTAYRCAAGACCATGTCTAATCCAAACTAAGATATCTTGCCCTGGAAACATCTTTTTGCTTATTTGTTGTTCCAACACTTTGTTGTTCCATTGCTAATTAACAAATGCTCTTTCTGGCCTGTTCCTCCCCCTGTGCTGGACACTGGCAGAACTGCGGTCCATGAGTCCTCTCACAGAAATGTATTTAAAGCTATTTCATTGGAAGAGTTTAAAATAAAAGTGTTCTTTGGTTTTCCAAATGTAGCACCAGAGCAAAGGCTCTATTTCAYCGTCCAATCATAGAATTATTCCAAGTCTGCAAAGGAATTTAGAACTTGTCTCACACATATTTCATTGTGGGTTGGCAATGAGTACTTTGGAGCTGGAGTCTTCTTTTTGAGGGCTCCAATCTAGAGTTAAAGCCTTTTTTTAATCACTCCTTTTGGAGCAATTAAACACATATTACAGGCTTCAAAAAGGCATAAAAGTAATAGATTTTGCTTTAGATAGCAAAGGAARTACATGGATTGCTACATCAAAATACCATTTTATAATTTTCTGTGTCCATCTTCTCAGCTCTCAAATACCTYACATGCTCAGCTCATTATTTTTGAAAATAGTCATGTATGTCTCTCACTTCTGTGTGTATACACAACCTTTATTCCCCTTGATTGTGTATCTCTAAAWATAAAAATAAAGGTCTTTTTTTACAAGTGTCATCCTTTTTCTGGTGACTCTAATTGGAGTAACCAGAATTCTCTGCTGTGTGATCTATTGCTTAGTTACCCTGCATGGTTCAGATCTCAAAGACCTGTAAGTTGGCTGCAGTTGGATGGTTTGTTCACAGTGCTTTTCTTYGCATGCACAGACAGTGCAGTTCCTCCTTAGATAGAATTTCTTATGTGGTTTTGATACCATGAGAATCCAGGCTGAAAAATAGGAGGGGGAGAGTAGTTTAGGTAAATAGATTTGCTGTCAAAACTATCATGTGTGTGGGTTTCTTGCTATCAAACCWCGAAATAAACAAAGATGGGGATTTAAATGTGCACATTGTGAAGAACCTCTGCATAGTTTATAAACCTTATGACAGTCAAAAATGTTGTAAATAACAGAGGGTTTGCTTAATGTGGAAGGAATGTGCTGAGCAAAGAAYGTGCATCCAAGGAAGGGAAGAATGAGATCACTTTAATGATGTAAACAGTGASTGAGTCAGGACCAGGAAGGCTAGAGACAGGAGGGAATCTGTTTTGAAGAAAGGCAGAGACTGTGCTKTTTCAGAGATCTGAAAGCCACGTGTAGGATTGGTGGGAGGAGGCATCATGTCAGTTAAAATACTGAAAGAGCYGAAAATGAATCATGTTAAGTACAATCCAGACCTGTGTTTATCTGTTCTTATGTTTTCTTCTAGATTGGCAATATTTTGATTAGCAAATTAACCTTTTGCTTCCTTACAAGCAGCATGGCTAGCAGGACCAGGGCACTAACWGTCACTGCTGAGGCCACACTGCTGYKTYCAGTTCCAGGTCCCCTGTGACAAGAAGGACACTGAGTGTGTCCAGAGGAAGGCAGTGRAGCTGGGGAAGGGGCTGGAGCACAGGTCTGAYGAGGAGTGGCTGAGTGKGTAACACACTTTATTCACACRTTTTCTTTGTGCAGTGACTTCCTGACATGAAGAAGCTCTGGTTGCCATGCCCACTGCTGCATACCATAACTCTAGGCAAGTTCTCCTGCCTTATAAATGTGGTAAGAGTTTTATAAYACTTAAGTTTTAAATGGAAAGTTTTACACGCTGACTGTCTGTCTCAAAGGAGGGGGGAAAAGAAAACTGGTTCCATGTGGGATTTTCATGTGCTTTCTTTTCACCTTCYTAATTCTCTGGAATTCCAGTTGAGGGAGCATGTTGTCCATTAGAGCTCCCTCAAGATTTTAGTTTCAGCAATGACTAAAGCAGAATGGCATTATTGTTATGAAGAAAGAATAACTGTGTCATGRGATTTTTAAAGCTGCTCTTCTATGGCTAGTTAACATGTTAACATTGTTGCAGAAAATAATTACTTCATTATGGAATTGTGAGAATGAAATAGTGAGCTTGTTTCTAAATAGGCTTAATTACTCTAGAAGTATTCTGTGCCAGTACTCTCATTCCAGAGAAAGCAGTTTGCCTGGGGAATTTTTCTGGAGTAGCAGTGGCTAAATCAGTTACAATTTCCCTCCTGTCTTGAGAGAGAGCACACATTRGCACTGTGATGCTGTATATGAGAATTTGAAAAAAGCAAATGTGTGTTACCCAAACCTCTAATTAGCTAGGGAATTTGGCTAAAATTACCAGAAGAAAAATTCTTGTTAGACTTTAGTGTATGCCAAAGATTTCACATCATTCATAGTTGTTCATGCACAATTATTTGTGTTGTAATTCCATAACTCCTGTTGGCTTTACAAACCACTGATGATTTTTAGTTTGTTTTGTCCACCTGCAAAATCACTAGAATAGTAGCATGTAGGAAATTGTTTTTCCAACACAAAAATGTAAGTGCTTACAATTAAGAAATTAAGCGATAAATGACATTTACATTCTGTAAAAACTATTGTACCAACATAAAAATGTCACTGGCATTCTAACAAGCACTGGCTTAATCCAAAGTTGTTTGCACAATTACTGTTTTATGCATTGTCCTTAGTAGTTACATAACTATTTTGGCACATGTGGAATGTCAGAAAAATGAAAAGGTATCTTCTTTCCCCAAAGGGTTTGTAGTCTATTAGCACTGCTTTCCTGGGCTATGCACTTCTTCTTTTCCCTAAGCTGGTTTCTATCTAAGTCAGCTTTGAACACAGCAGGGGATACAGAAGTTGTCTGTGATTTAATTGACTGTGTTTATACTATTGTCATTTTAATCACTATTTTAAAGGAACATATTTCTCTTCTGTTGTTTTGCTCTTTAATCTTTTTTGGAAATACTCGATGCAGCACCAGCAACAGCTCTCTTTTCAAAGCTGTGGTCTAATTAAAATGTGCTGAACCAAACAGGCAAAATCCACATTGTTCTTGTTTTTGCTCTGTGTGCAAATGACATTAAACAATATTTCGTCGAAAAGCAACATTGTTCTGTGCAGCTTGTAAAAGTTAATGAACGTGATGAATCCTTTTATAGCTCCATTCTTTAACTTACTAGCAGTGTGTACCCCATTCCTAGAACAGCCTATCTCCCTCCAGCCCTACAGTTAAAGCATGCACTTCACAAAGCATGGATTCTGAAAAATAACTTTTTAGAAGATGACTCTCTGTAAGAGTGCTGCTCCTTGAAGTGCAATAACTCTTGAGAAGAAAAAAATGGGGCGTTTTTTGGAACATACATTGATCTCACAGATTTTAAGGATTGTTGAGATGAAGTGATTTATAAGACACTTTTTTTGGGGGGGGAGTTATTCTGTAAATAGCTTTAGAGAATTGGAGGGGACTCAGACCAAGCCTGTACTATAAGATTTGACAGTGTAGGTCAGTTGCCTTAGTGAGTGGAAAAAAAAAACAGCTGTGCCAGCACAATGTAGAAACAACTATAGAACCAGAAGAATTCCTTTGTCAGCCTAGCTAATGTCGTTTGTGAAGGGAATGTTATAGTCATAGCAGAAAACCCTCTTTCTCTTGATAAGTGCTATGTAATTGTGCCAGCAGAATTTCTGAAGTACAGTCAGGCAAAAAWGCTGGCACAAGCATGAACAGAGAAATCCCAAAGCAGTGCCAGAACAAAACCTTGTTGTTGAAGTTAACTGTYGTAAATAAACCTCAAGTGATTATTCTGTGACAGATGAATTTCAATCTTTATGTTTAATCAATGAMATGATRGTGTTATTTTGATTTTTTATYTTATTATTTTGGCTTAGGCACTCTCAACAGCTTTTTTTCAAATTAAATAGTGAAAGATAAAATTTTCCTTACCTTTTCCAGGTGACTGATTTCTGTCACATAATATCARTTTAACATGATAGAAATAAGAACTGACAAGGAAGTCTTTGGTTTCTCCAGATGCTTTAAGGAAACCAACAGTCAAATTKGGGTTCATGACAGGAAATGCTCTGRCTGGGTGTTCAGTGCTTGGTGTGCCTGTATTCTGTCAGAGCAACATGGAACTGTAGGTGTTCTGCTYACATGGGAGAAGGTTGTAAGTTTACACTGTGTATGTGTGTGTGTATGTGTAAAACTCCAAAGTTCCAGCCCCTGGAAGGGTTGTACTCCCTTCACCTGTGTTCCCTTCACYAGTAAAAATGATTTAATTTCTTGAAATCCTGCTCAGCAGTTTCATACCCTACTAGAATTGACAGTGTGCCAAAAGCATTCTTCTAAACAACAAACAGATGTTTTACTGCTTCCCAATGTAGATTTGAAGTTCAGAGAGGACTTGTCAGTGCTTGAGAATCATATTAGGAGAGCAAAGAAGTGGAGTTCATAGTGGTCTTTAGAAAATATCCCCCGGTCTCACTCCTGAGTCAGAGAGAAACATTTCAGAAAAATTCTGAGAATTGGTTTTCCTTTTATTTTTTTTTTTTCTTCCTGTTATTTCTGCAGTTGACACTTCTCTTCTTGCATTTCTTTCCCATTGTTCTCTGCAACGATGTCAACTCCAGCAGGCCAAATTAACTAGTCTGAATTATTCTTAGGGGATCTCTTGGGGAGCTTTTGAACTTCAGTTACRGTAACTGCAGAAATACCTCCCTGGCAACACTTTGTGATTTACGGTTAAATGATTATTTAGTAGYAGTTGATAAATCCTTTCTTATTTTGTTCAACTCTGCTAATTTCTGCCTTTTGAAGCAAAATCATATGCCAAGAAGAAAGCACTTATTAGTATCAAGATGTAASTATTTGGAAAGCCAATGCAAGCTCTGTAAATCCCATAACTGAAAAAGAGCTGAAATGTAACTTTGCTGGTAAATAAGCCATATACTTATTATTCCCTAAAGGTAAATATCACTGTAGGAGAACATTCCAGTCATCTCATTTTGTGTGTTTGCACAGTCTACATAGAACAAAACAGTGTTCTACTTTGTGGATTTAATGTGTATTTTACAAGGCAATGGATAAATTATTAACATAACTACAATTTCTAAGTAACAATATCCTTTTCTTGATGTCACTTAATGAGTTTATTCTTAATGCTTCTGTTTTTTGTTTCATTTGTTGGCTGAATCGAATATTTTACTTTACAAACAGCTTCTCAATTCAGGTATTACACATCTCATAAAGCCAGTTGGTATAGTACACTTCTCCCAAAAATGTGCTTGAAGGGTTCTTTTTTTAATATTAACTTCCTTYGATCAAAATTACTCAAAAATGAAGGTTGCACAAGAATCTTGTTAAGCTAGAAAATGTCTTCCTTACTCCTGGACATAGATTTTGAAATAACGTGTGCTTCAGATGTGTAGCAAGATCTGCCACTGGGAACTATTGCTTATCAAGATCTATTGATTACATGCTTGCTTTCACACCCTTGAGGAGAAGAACTTTTGAATGTAAGGATGTGCAAAAAACAAAGGCAACAGGCCATGACAGTTGTAATTCCTCATTGTTTTTTGAACCGTTTGTTGCCTGTTTTGTCATTACATACAGGAGTGGCACAGTATATAGCTGAGGGAAAAAGGCTGGCACTTGTATGGTGCTTGCTTAAAGGAATGACACATTAGAGACCCTTTACTGTCATCGCTCCCCGGTTTCCAATGTGTGAAAAATGTATTGCTTAATAATCAAGGATTTGTGTTTTGGGGGCACATCTATCAAGAAAATTAGTTTAACTTAAAGGCTGTAAGCTTTGGGAAATAGTAGTCCARCCGTAGAAGAATTATTGCTTCATTCACCACAGCTCTGATGAAATGAGCTGTACTGTGCCTTTTACTTGGGGGAAGTTTCCTAGAGTTTGATTGAAAATATGGGACTACTTTGTACTTACTTTGTGTCTTGTAARAAATACATTTGAACTCTAACTAGCCACATAGGAAAACAGTTTCTGGCCCACTGAAAGCATTCTTCCACCATGTCTTATGATCCCATATATACAATCTCAAATAGTTAGACATAAATTAATTTCTACTTACTTTGCACTTAGAGTTGGACAGGACTTTTTGAATGAAGACRTTGGTGCATTAGTTCACCAAATGCAGATTCCTGCTGTGGACTTAGTTTCACATCCCTAGTARGTACTCAGCTGTTTATGTATCTATATATTTTTTTTTCTGTTTTGTTTCTGGCTTTTCCAGGCCCTAGGAAGTAAAACTCCATGAACTGACTGGATCAATGAATTAAAGCTGCTTGCCATATAGTCAGGTAAGCCCTCCAGCCCTTCCTCGTGCTTCAGAGTACATAGAGTGAAGAGCAGGACTATCACTAACACAAAGACATTTAATCAGCTTATCTGTATATAATCCAACCACATCTTTGGTGACTTCAGACATATTTTATTATTTCTTCCCTTGCTTTTAGATCAACATTTCTCTTATTAAGTCCCTTTACAGTTTTTTATGAATAGTACCAGTATCATATCAAGTARATATCAGTTGTAAGATACATCACAGTAACAGAGCAGGAGTGCATAACAAAGTCCAAGAAAGACAAACGTAAGGTCTTGTACCTGTGAAAAAGTAATCCAGGAGTGCAGCAAAGGCTGAGATTTTTCACTGAAATAAATGGAATTATATTGAAAGAAGCTTAAAGAATTGGATCCAGCTTGCCTGTCCTGAAATTCACTTACTGTACCTGTGGACACCATGAAAATACTTTCATGAGTATCTGCTTTCTTGAGACCACAAGAATGTGATTGTCCTCTCCATGACTGAAAAGGCTAAATATGTCTTAAAAGCAAAACTGAAATTACTCTGAGCACAAGGTACCAAATGGTGCTTCATCAGAAACATGGATTATTATCCCAGCCATAAYTGATGTTTCTTCCCCTCAGAGTGTGACTGTATGGAGCAAGTCAGAACCAGTTTGATGACTTCAGCATCAGCATTGTGAAAATTCTGGCATRACCCAGAGCCTTATTTTCTTTCATCACACCTAAATCAGAGTCCATCAATTCCTATTTACCTACTAATCTTTAAGAGGGACAAAAGCCCRTGATAGAAACCTTCAGCAGTGCACCTGGCCCATAGAAACAAGTGCAGAAGCCACAATAAGCATTTCCATCTGCTAGAGACCAGAGTACAGACCTGTTAGACAGCTCCACTAAAAACAGTTTGTGTATTCCCACATGGTGCATTTTGTGGGAAAATAAATCTCGCAGATAGCAATGTGGTATGAAATTAAAACTCCTTATACATTGTTTCTCTTATAACTTTCTGCAGTCAAAAAGGCAATTAACTTATATATGATAGAGAGCCTGTAATTCTGATCTGTCTGTGGCAGTGACACTGGATAGAGGCAGTTATTGCTACTTGCTAGAAATTACTGGTAAATTTTGTATTTAAAATAAACTATTAGAATAAAACATCAAGGTACAAGTTAGCTGTGTGAACTATTTTCATTGTGGTAGTCTKTAGTCAAAGCTTTTTATTTTTCCTATGAGAAGATCAAATACATTTTCAAAAATGTTACATTCCCTGCGTATATSTCTACCTGGCTGGGAAGGAGATGTCCTATAAACCTATTTTTTCATGCTGGGTACTGCAGTTCTAGCCCAGTGACAGTTCTGGATTATGGAAAAACAAGTGAAAAATGCAGATAACATTTTGAATCAAAATTATAAAATATTATAGATCTTCTTTCATGGTTAGAATGTAATCTTATTAGATTTCTCATATAAATGTGGTTACAAGCAAAAAAAAAATAGCTAAAACACCCAAAATGAACTAAGCAAAAAAGCCAACCAAATCCTAATAGAAGATAAATGAGGCTAATTTGGAATTGAGAAGCAATCACCATGAGAAAACCCCACAAAGTTTTAGAGACAAGAACAATTACTATAAACTTCTGTTGAGMGATCTTCTCTCTTTTCTACAGTTTGTAGTATTTAGCACCTGCTCCAGAAATGTCTTCTATAAATAACCATTTTCTGTTTCAGACAAAATTTACATTGAAAATTATCTTGGTGCAGCTGCTCAGTTTTTCTACAATTGTGAATTGCCAAAAAAGGAACAGGAATTCCTTGGGGACCTCAGAATTAAATCTTTTTTTCCTGTAACATGATCCCATGCAGTGGAGCTGTGATGGAAGTCCATTATTACTTGCTAGCTGTTCTTAGAGTTGCTCAAACTGAGAACTGAGGAGTCCTTTGTAGATGATCCTCACTCTCCTACAATTTCTGTGGCTTTGTAGCTCCACAATTACTGSCCCGATGGCACAATGCCCCAAAAATGAATACTTTGATAATCTGCTGCTCTCTTGTACTCCCTGTCACCTGCGGTGTTCCAGTGCACCACCACCCTYGTGTGAAAACTACTGTGAGAAGAGTAAGTAGAGCTCTACAATACTCTGTGGCTGTGCTGGGCATTGTCATGTCATACTTTACATAGGAGTTTTATGTGTTGGACATGTTTACTGTGCATCCATGTTTATGATTAATGCAATGCATCTCTTTTATTTCATAAGGTACCGATTCAAGTGGAATTCTTTGGATTTGCTTGGGCTTAGGAGTGATTTTAATACTCACTCTGTTCACCTTAATGGTCTTATTTAAATGGAAGCACCTAAAGCAACTAAAAGAAAAACTGGAGAACACAGGTGAATAAATAAGATTCTTCATCAARTAAGATTAGATCATTGTACATTTTAGTTACTCTTACCATGTAAAAGCTCTGCATTTCATTCATATTGTAGATTTTGATGACTGTCTTTGTTGGACTGTTTTGTATTCCTCAAATAGTCTCTATGAAGTTATSAAAGTTGTTAGGGAATAAATATCCAGATGGTGACTTGCAAAAGCAGCAATCTATCTTCGCTGGTACTGGTTTCTTCCAAGATTATGTTGTTGTATATATTCATACCTGGCTTACTTGCTGCTGTTKGAGAAATCATTTATGAACCTTCCAAAGCAAAAATCTTTATAAGGGTTTCACCCTCTTCTCACTGAATGCAAGAGGAGTTCTAGCCTGGCACAGGATACACATTCAATATTAACTTTGCATTTTATAAGACTTTAAATAACTTTATTTAATATTGTAGGCTGTAAGAAGCATATGTGGTATATTCTGTGAAAGTGAAAAAATTAAGTTTTTTTCCATTTTACAAATGCTATATTTGTGACTGTTCACACAATCAATAATAACTGATTAGAAAATATGTATTGGATTACTTCCTTGCTTATTCTGAAGTATAGYGGTTGTACTGTAATATGTAACTACAACTTTCACTATATCTTAAAACTTTCACTGAGGTTAGAACATARTGGGACCATAATGAAATTTGGATCTTTAATAGCTCTTTGTTTGGTATAGCAGGATGTATGTATTAAATTAACTTCTGTATATTTACAGACTCCTCTGTGGAGTGGAATAATATACTCAAGGCTAATACTGAAAGCAGYGTGAATACAGAAGAAATTAGACACACACTTCAAAGTGAAACATTAATGTATTCAGTGGAAGAATGYACTTGCAGTGACTGTGGCTCGGTAGAACCTCAGAGTGGCTGTGAAACTTCATTCCCATTACCAGCTACTGAAGAACGAGCRACTGTTCTAGTTACCACCAAATCCTTTGATTATTACAACTACGTTCTGGGTGTTGGATGACTGGGAGAGAAATGTATTTGTACTGGGTAATAATAAATGAGTTATTCCAGTATAGCTGTTAATACTTGCAGTCAGTGGAGAAGGTAGGACATCATCCTTATAGATCTCCCATTCTGCTCTCCTAAATATTGTCATATTAGTTCTAATTCTAGTATTTCGTTAGCCAATTATTTCTACATTATTCTCAGATAATAAACTAGTTATTGAAATTTTTAATCTGTGAAAGTCCTTACATAGGACAACTTTTTCTGCCTTTAGAGATTGTATATATCTGGTGTAAGTAGATACAAACACATCAATAAACAAGTTTGCAAATATATACTTTCATGTTAGACTCTGATCTTATAYCAAAAATTACTTGATGGTAAACAAGGACTGTTCCAAGAGGCCCCCAGGTTCAGAAGGTATCAGCGAGTCACCTAAAGGAGGTTGTGGTGCTGTGGAACACCACACCATAGAATCCCAGASTATCCTGAGTTGGAAGGGACCCACAAAGGTCACCTTAGTCCAGCTCCTGATATTCACTGCAATGCCTGCAATCCCCATGTAGTTCCTGGTGGGTACAGGCGTTCTTTTCAATGCCCAGTGTTTTCAAACTGAGATTTATTTCTCTTTTACTCATTTTTTTACTTATCCTTGTCATATTTACAAGGATGGGTGATTAGAGTCATGCTAGACTAATCTGTGGCCTAAAATTAGGCACATACTTCTGTCACCTTGCCTTCCAAACATTAATGTTACTTTCCTAATATTAGGCCACAATTTTATTCCCAGAAAACTGCAACAACAACAGAAGCAACCACAACAATTGTCTTTATTTGTAGCTAACTTTCTACTTCAGGGTCTTGCATGAATGAGGAACTGAAATATTTTATTGCACAAAATCTACAAATGATCACAGTTACAGCATCTTTACGAGGCTGACAAAAAGTTCGGGGCCAGCTGGGGGTTAGGTTAGGTTAGCTGTGTGGTTTTAGCCACACRGAGCCAACACCTCCCAAACAGGCCTAGAGACCTATTAAATTTATTCTCATCACTTAAAAAAAAATTATCAGAGATTCCACAATTCTTTTTAATGGCCCTTCCGAGCCTTCACCTCGCACGGCACATGCGACAGCAGGGCCAGTTTATCCCCGCTTTTCTCACCGTTCCTGTGCCCGTTGTCCGGTCCTGCCCCTCGGGGCGGCTCTGCCCGCTGCTCCGCGCGAGGGGCTGAGGGGCCGGGAGCGCTGCGGGGCCGGCAGCGCTGAGGGGCCGGGAGCGCTGCGGGGCCGGGAGCGCTGCGGGGCCGGGAGCGCTGAGGGGCCGCCGAGAGCCCCGGGCCGGGAAGCGCTCCCGGGGCCGTGTTTACCTTCCGGGGCGCCGGGCGGGTTCCGGGGCGGGCGGTGGCTGCCGGCCCGGCCGCGGCTGTGCGGAGAGCGGCGGCTCCGGCGGACGGAGCCCCGCGGGCACCATGAGCGGTGAGTGCGGGCGGGCCGGGCCCGCCGGGCGCTGTGGGGGCTGGCGCGGGCAGAGCGGGCCCGGGGGCCCCGGGCGGGAGTGGCCCTGCTCCCGTTCCCCTCAGCTTCTCCCCGGTGCCGTGCTGAGGCACGGAGCTCTCGGGGCTCTCATCACCACACCYCGTTCCTCATTCCGGCTCCCCAAGTCCCCCCGAAGTGCTTTTTACCCCGTTTTGTATCCTAAATGCTGCCCTTGAGCGTGGCACTGGCTCGCTTCACGAGTGATGCTGGGCTCGGGCAYCTGTGTAGCCTCAGCTGTGCAAAATCATAGGGAATACTCCTGAGGAAATAAATGAGTAAGAGAAAATAAAGAGTTAAAAAAAAAAAATGAACTCAGGAGCATGCAGTTGGTGGGAGAGGTGAGAACCATGACTTGTGGAAAAAGGGTCCTGGTTGCTGATTCCCTGACTCAGTCCCGGTGAGGATGGGTCTGTTTGGATGTGGTAATTTCTGACCTCTGTGTTACAGAGGAGTGGTGCGGGGGGTGTGCTAAATCCTTAGCTTTTTGAGGTGTTTGTCAAGGAAATACTTGAAACTTTGCATTGGRATTATGACCCATAAACTACAGGACTGGAGGAAGCACATCCACTTGAATGGGCCAGCATGGAGAATTATTTGTAAGGATGGAGAAAGAAATTTTAATAGACTTTCCTTGTAGATGTAAAGGATAAGTAATACTCCTTTAATATGTATTAAAATACATTGACAAAGGTTTGTTTGGGGCTTTTTAAGAAGGGAGGAGCTTTAGTGAAAACTTTGATGCATCTCTTTGTTTCATTTGCTTCAGCAATGGAAATTGCAGACAACACTCTGCACCTGAGAATTGGATCATATATTGACCTCCCATCCTGATTTAACACATGGTGATCTTTGTTGCCACTGGTAGTAAGAAAAAAACTGAAGGGTTAGCTGGAGCAACTAAATGCTGTGTGATTTATGGAGAGCAGTAATTTCTGAAAGTGAACAGAAAAATAAAACCGCTTTTATTTTTCTTTGTTTTGTTCTCACCTTCATGGTAAGAAGAAAACAGAAAATTTTTATGGAAGAGATGAGGCAAAAAAAAGATTGTTGGGGGGTAACCTGTTGTGAAAAATGCAAGTAACAGTGAAATCTTTCAAAGCATGGGAAAATAAAGTTTCTCAAATGTTTCAGATCTTGACACAGTATAGACTAAATCCTAATTGCAAAATTTCTAGAGTAATCATTTTCATGTGGGGAACCTCAGCCCTTCAATGATGAATCCRGACTGGGACTAGCCTTATGCAAATTTTATGCAAATTAGAGCCTAAATCTTCCTAGGAGACTAATCTTTGAGAGCTCTATTTGGATTCTGTGACTCAAAAGGCAAGGTAACACCTCATGGGCCTAAAGCTTCATGGTGTAGTTATTTTTATTACCTTTAATCTTATTTTTTTTAGGACAATGAAGAGATACATGTTTATGAGAAGTGAAACRTTTAGTTACTTAAAATAGAGTAATGCCTAGGGTGACATCAACAGTTGTGGTTCARTTGCATGGTAACCACCCATGTGTAGCCCCTGCCAGGAATTTTAGGGTTTTTGCAACAGTTTTGATTAGACAGCAAGATAACAAAAAACTCCACTAATGTACTTTGCTAAACATGGCTATTATACAATGCTGTACAGTATTTTTCTAGAATAACAAAAGGGAAATATCTATCACTATCATGCTTGTTTCAGGTAAAGGAGATGGCTCATTTTAACATCTCAYCAATTTTAACCATATCCTTCTTTTAGTGCCTGTAATAGCACTGTCTGTACTTACTTCTATGCTCCGTTTTAGCCCTTTTGAGTTAAAGAGCTGTTMCTAAGATATAAATGGAAGAACTTCCTTTCTTAATGGCTATAATTATATTTAATGTTTATTTTCTTTAGCTACAGTGTATTTCTAGTGGATGTGAAGGTAATTTCCTGTTGATTTAAGCATTACCTTAATATAACTAATGCTACTTACTAATTACATCCTCATATTTTATTGTACAGTGCTGAATAGGCTAAACTTTGAAGGCAAGTAATACAAGGAAACAAGGTTTATGTGCTTGTCAAGAATGGAGGGTGTTGTCATTTAATGACAGTTTCAAAAAACTTTCAAATGCAACTAATGGGGGGTTGATGCAGTAGAATCATAACAATGTAGTATAAGTGACCATTTAAATTAGGTTTGTGTTTGTTTTATCTTCAACTTGCACCCTCAGAATCCATACTGGAGCAAGCAAAAGGGATTGCAGTCTGAAATTTCTGGGCATAAATGCAAGTTATATAAGAGCAATATGAGATTTATTTATTTTACTTATATGCTGCATGTGGTGCTGCAGAGAGCTTTACCTAGAAAGAACTGGATGAAAATCCTGCTTTCCTTTACTTGCATGTCAATTTGCTGCTGCTGTAGGTTTGGATGTTTCTGTCGGGGTWGGAAGAGAAGTTTGTTTTAAAAATAGGAAAGCATGACCTTAAACAGCAGAAAATGAGGAGGGTCACAGAGGCAGGTGCAGTACCTGAGACTATTTTAAACCCTTTTTGACTGAGTAGATGTTGGTGGGAGGAGTCTCTTTAAGTTTCTTACTTTTTTGCAACCTTATGTTTTCATAGTTATTTTTAGAGTCGTGTATGAACTTTTTTTTTTTTATTTTTTTATTGCAACAGACTAAACACAGCCTTTTTCTGAGTAATGCTGTTTTTATGCATTCTATGTTTTGTATTTGTGCTGCTGCAGTTTTTACTGCTGTTCTGAATCAGGAGAAGGGCCTTTCAGTCAGTTTGTAATACACTGTCTTTAGTCTTTAAATCAGCTGGAGTTGATCACACTTAAATGGTGTTCTTGTCTGAAAAGATTTTTTTTTTTCTTACGAGTTAGTTTAGAAAATGAAGATATGAAAGAACTAAGTCTTCATTCGAGTTAGTAGAGATTTATTTTTACCTTCCACCTACTTGAAACAAACCCATCACTAAATAGTACCATATTTTTTAGGCTTGTTACAAAGGAAAATACACYCTCAGCATGAAAAGGGACACAACTTAATCTTTTAGTTTTCAAAAAAGTGTTGGGCTTCATGAATATTTTTCTTTTGCTACTTGTAAAATTTCTGTTAAGCGACAGCAGTAGAAGAATTTAAGACATGCATTGAAGAGAAACCTTGGCCTAGCTCTCAGTAGAGACATTATGTGGTTTTATAGCCYTGTTAATGGTAAGTGATCTGAACTGCTTGAGAAATTATTGGTTGTAATCTCCTGCAGTCATGATGTTAATAGTACAAATTTGCAAGTAAAATAAAAAGAAAATACATATTGCACACAGTCTGTGTAAGATTAAGGTTGTTTGGTATCACATGCTATAGTGGTTTAGAACATCAGTTAGTATAGTGAACATCTGTAGGTGTTCTGTATTTATGTATTTTTTTATATTGATCACAGTTTGGAATCTAGTTACAAACCATTTCTGTTACCAAATCGATACAAAAAGTCCTATGAGATGTGAATTTAAAAACTAACATGTCTTGCATTTGGAAGACAAACTTGGCCCACCTACTAAAATTTTCATTTGATAGATGTTTTTATGGATATGAAAGTATTAATTGCATGGATTTGTTCTGATATTGTCTCAAACTATTAATATAAACAGAAAGGTTGTGTTATGCCTGTTCTTTCAGGTATGTGGGTAGTGTGAGATGGTAAGAGTAACGAGTTTTGAAACAACAGAGAAAATTAGTAGAGTTGTGTGTATTCAGTGTTACTGTTCATGAGGGTTTGCACTAAAAGTTGGGATTGATTTCGTTATTTTATAGTTATGTGATTTATTGTAAGGCATGCGGATACATAGGCATGTTTGCATCTCCATTTTGGCATTGTATGCATGGTAAGAACATTGCATATAGTTTAATRAATTGCAATCTCTGAAGGAGCACAAAGTGGAATGGTAGGGATTCTATGAATTCAGCCTTATCTTCACACTGGCATGACTGGCATAGTTGTTAGGAAGTTAAGACCCCTTTGGTGTGGGGTTTGTTTCTAGAGTCCTGGACTGGCACTGAACATTGTGTGGAGTGCTTGACTAAGAGCCCCAGACCTCACACATCACATGTCTGCACAGTTTGAGTCAGAGTTCAAAATGGGAAGCACAATTTCTTGAAAATGTGCTGTAATCAGCAAAATCAGCATTGTGAAGTTTAGTTASCAGCTATGTTTCTATGTTTTTCCTGTTGTTTTTATTATTCTGGCATACTGTGGGGGTTTTCTTCTGTTTAATGAATATGTGAAACTATATGGAATATGAATTCTATGAATATATTTAGAGACAAGTATGAATATATATAATGTATTATATTAGTATAATGTGTATTTGTTTAAACAAAGGCAGAATCATTTCAAGTGGACAAATTCTGTCCTGTCCTGCTGGTTTAAAAGCAAACTGTTTTGAATGGGATTATGAAGGTAGGAAATTCTGGGATGTGGGCCTCACACTGTTGGATAGCAAGAGGAAGCACATATCTTTGATGTCATCTCTCTTTATTAGAGGGCTTWTTGTGTAGTGTTTGATTTTCAGTGTCTGGAGGAATTTGCTCGTGCAGAGTATGGGTAATTGGCTTTCAGTCCATATCTATATTAATTGTATGTTCCTTGAGAGAGAAAGGAAATAGAATTACTCTAACYCCAGGGATGTCACAGAGGTTTCTGATGGATGTTTTGAAATTAAGCTCCGAATAAAGAAACTACAGAGACAATRTAGATTATTTAAAAGACTAAATTTTACCATGTTCATGGGAATGTATAAAGGGTATTCCATCAAGCAAAGTATTATGCTATTGTTGAAATAGGTTGAGAAGTTAAAGGTTGTCTTGCATAGTTCCTTATATAATAGCAAAATAGATTTTATAGTTGTTAATCAGAAGAACTGTGCTGGTAGTTAAATTTTAATTTATTTTAACAGTTTTTATTTTTTATTTTAACAGGATTTATTTTAACAGTTGCTCTCTGTTCACCTGACTTAAAACTCTTTCTGTAGTAAGGTTATTTGTCAGTAAGAAGAAACTCCTGCTGTCTCTTTCTCACTTTCCATTCTTTTCTTGCTATAATGCTCTTCTACACTGGTGGTTGTGCTAAGAAGCTCAGGGCAAGCTGTGCATCAGCTTGAATAATTATGCTGTATTTGGTACTGCTGAAATACATCTTCAAAATATTGCTAAAATAAKAATCTAGATGATATTTGAAACAGTACTGTTGCCTATTAGAGAAAGGCTGCTTGAAACCTCAAAGCATAGTTTATACTGCATCATTTTACTTAGAGAAAATATATTAGTTATTTTAATAGAATAATTGGCATGGGAAGAAAGCTTTCAGGGCCCAAAAGCAAGAAGTTTGTGTTGGCCTAAATGTATGAAAAAATTATTTTAAAATGATATGATTTTGTTGGTTTTCAGGTTCGCAGACCAACGACACTAAAAGACAATTTCTTCTGGAACGGCTACTGGATGCAGTTAAACAGGTGAGAAATCCAGCACACATTTCAGCAGTGACTTACTCAGAGTTGCTGGCAGGGACTGTCTTTTGCTCTTTGAAAAAGAAGAAAAGGAAACAAAGAAGAAATCATGGCTTTCACATAGTACTACTGAGTTATTGTCTGCTAGCAAAGTACTACTGATATTGTCTGCTAGCAAACAACTACTATGCAGTATTTATTTAAAATTCTTGTTCTGGACAGGTTATATTTGTAATGTATCAATTTTAAATATATGTAATACTAATATTAGGAATATATGTACTTATAATCCTCATGTGACTGAAATGAMTTGCAGTGTACTGCAAAGTCTAACTTAACATTTTGGAGTAGCAGGTTCTTTTCTTTGAGCTAGATTTTTAGTRAATGGTTAAATAGATGTAAAGATGTKATTTATATATGTATATCTGTATYTTRCATCMMCATGAAGTTCAGCAAGTAGAATTTCATAGTCTGGATTCAGTTTGGGAGAGCCTGGGAGGCAAAAGAATGCCTTGCAAGTAAGTTAGTGAAATATTTTATAAAGAGCAGTTCTTATATAATTGTAGCACTGAGTTGGATAGGAGCAATGTTTGGTTTTGTGGGTGTACATTTAAAACTCRAAAGTAGTAATTTCCACTCAGTTTTCAGTTTACTGAAGGACCTGCAGGTGTGTTGCTCTGGCTGGCAAGGATATATTTGAACTGCAAGAGTGACCCATTAGGTGTAACATTGTGCTCTAGAGCATTTTTGGATGCAGGCTGTCTTTGCCAATACTTTATTTTGTWCTGCTTCCTTTTTTGTTATGACTTYGTTTCTTATATAGAAATAGTTTAGAAAACTGAATTAGTTTAGTGTAAAAAAAATTCTTAAATATTCTTCATATCTGTCTGTTGCAGTGTCAAATACGATTTGGAGGAAGAAAAGAAATTGCTTCTGACTSTGACAGCAGGTAAAATAGTCAAAGGTTAACATGTTTAGATTATGTATCATAATGACATAAAACATATGGCTCAAAATATTTGACACATTCAAAAAATTACATTGCATGAAAGGTAGGTGGTCTGAAGCTGAAATAATGTAAGTACAACTCCTCTAGCTGGTGAGGGTGATTTCTCAAGTTGATTACCAGTTCTTCTGAATGTAACCTGTGCCTCAGCTTTCAATCATGATGATGAGACTGTGGGTATAAATAGATTATACTGCTTGCAAAGAATGAGATTACTGCATCATTCACTGCTCATAAGATAATGGTTCACTTTACATTCCCTATCCAGAGAACTGGAATAAAGTTGCTGTACAGAAACATAGTTGGTTGTTCTCTTCACGTGAGTATGTTACAAATTCTGTTGCAGAGTGACCTGTTTGTGTGCTCAGTTTGAAGCTGTGTTCCAGCAYGGCCTGAGGAGGAGCCGGGGATTAGCACTGACAGCAGCAGCAATCAAACAGGCAGCAGGTTTCTCCAGCAAAACTGAAACAGGTTAAGTTGCTAGTTTTACCTGTCCTCTTTTAATTTAGTTCATATGTTCAGTCAAGTGATACAATTTCTAATAGAAGTTTTAAGCTTTGCACCAAACTGCAGGTTGTTGGTGGGGTACTTTACGCTTGGCAGTGTGTTGTAGAAATAGCACTGAAAATTGCTGTTGCTTTTTAGTCTAGTTTAAKTTTCATTCCAAGTTTCTGTAGACATATTGCTGTTGCGAAATTTGCACTTCTCACTGTTTCATCATGTATAGTGGCAAATTTATTTTGAATTCTGCTAGGGATAAACAATGTCTAATTTGCTTATCAGTTTTTCCAACAGTGTTTCATTTGTAATCTTGCCTTACTCCATTCTTTAACTGCTATATTATGTATGGGTCAGGGCAAAGAAAGATATTTTAGTGGAGATATTGTTGCCTTTTAAATACACCACTGCCATTTCCTGAAGTAACATGAATTTGTCACTTGCATGTCTCTAAATTCTGGAGGTACCTGTTCCTTTGGACCTACCTTTTAGCATTTCACATCAGCAGGAACATAGAGTTCTAAAGAAATSTTTTCATAATGTGTTTCCAGTTGAGCATAGGAACCTGTGAATGAAATACTAGCTTAAATATGCTTTTAAATGTGAATTCTATGTAAAAGCATCAGAATGAATGCTTTAAGTTGTGTGGCTTTTCAATGAAGTGAAACATTCTAAGTGCTTACGTAGTCTGAGTTCTGTAGGAATAAATAACCTATTTAACTGGCAGGTTGCATGAAGAGGGTAAATGATTCACCTTTGTCAAAGTTACATTGTTACCTGTTTGTTTTATAAATTTACATGTAAATGCATTCAGGTATGAGCTTAGTGGTTTTCTTGGTGGGCTGATGGTTATTATTATTATTATTATWATTATTATTATTATTATTATTATTATATTCCAGAGCCAGTGTTCTGGTATTATGTGAAAGAAGTCCTGAACAGACACGAATTGCAGCGCTTCTACTCTCTGAGGGCCATCACTACAGACATTGGCAGAGGCAGGGCCTGGCTGCGCTGTGCTCTGAATGAACATTCACTGGAAAGATATGTTCACATGCTGCTTGCAGATAAGAATCGACTCAGGTACTGGATCTGATACCTTTGTCATGCAGGAAATATATTGACAAATGAAGTGCTGTCTGAAGCCCCARGCAACCAGTCAGAAGCTACAGCCATAGTAGTACCCCATATTAATTGCTATGCAGATCAAGTCACTTAATCTCATATTTGAGTTCACTTTTTAAAACTTTTGGCAGCCATTAAGATAATGGTTTGTGCCTATATCAACATGTGACCTGAAACTGGCTTCATTATAGGATATGAGAATACATGCCATTATAGGATATGAGAATACTTGCTTCTATCCCCACCTTCACTTCCATCCTCTTCCCTAAATCCCTTCCCTGTTTTTGCAACAGCTTTCCTCACAGCAACCTTGACTCCATCTTTTAAGGTGCCTCTCTCATTACACTAATTTAATGCACACTTGTAGCCTTGTCTGGTCAATTCATCAGTGGTAATTGCCAGTTACCTTTTGCAGCTGCTGGTGCTGTAATTGCAAAGCTCCAGCAGTGCAGCAGTGGGGAGCTGCTGTTGCAGATCACTGGGAAAGGGTTTGGTTGCAGTTTGTGAACCTTTTGTTACAGCTACTGGGAATAAATTACTATGTATTGTGAAATCCTGAAGTACTCTGGAAGTGCAAAATATGCTTAAGTTCATAAACTAAATCCTGACTTTTTCTCATATGTCTTCAACTCTTTTTCTTTTTGAAAATTTGAGGTGTTTCCCTTTTTTATCAATAACTATTGAACTTGYTCAAACCACTTGATCAAGTCCACTGCATTCAGCAGAAAGGTATTTTATCCATTTTCATTGATTAATGGGTATACTGGATAAGATTATTACCAGAACTGAGTCCATGAATACCTCCTTGTAATTTCTAGTTTGTTCCAATCTTCTCTAGCTTTCTTGCAAAACAGATTTTGGTGAAATCAAATAAAACCAAGTGRAACAATAAAGAAAAAAATCTGAAACCTATTGGGAGGAAATTAGTGACTTCATTGGGGTACTCATTCTTAGAGTTTTCTTGTCTTTCAGAAGTGAAATATATGTTACTATAGGACTGAATGCTCTTTTTTCTTCTTTAAATTCTAGTGTCTTCTATGAAGACTGGTCTTTTATGATGGATGAAGAACGTTCTAGTATGATCCCCACGATGGCAGCTGGTAAGGCTTTCTCCTGATTATTACTGTTCTTGGAAAACTGTTGCATTTTGGAATGTTACATCTGTTTCTGGTTGTGAGGAGCTTCTCTAATACACTCTGTTTATGCAGAGAATGTGTGTCAGAGGCACAGTCTGGGTGAATAGTCAAGGTATTATGCCAATATGAACTGATGGATTGTTAAAATCCTAGATCTGGCCTTACTGCAATTCGAAAATCTTCTGCATTAAATTTTTAACTCTTCAGCAGTCAAGGCTAACCTAAAACCAGTGCAATTTARAGAAATCAAAGTGAGTTATTCCTGGCTAGAAAGGAATAATGATAGAATTTTATAGTAAGATCCAAATTACAGGTGCATACAGGTAAGGAGAGTAAGAAATGAAAGCAAACAATTTACTTTCCTAGAGTTCAGCCACAGAAGTGATGTATTATTCCCTTTTATACTCCTTTTCTTAGATACATGGTCACATGCTTCATTCTGCAAGACAAGGTTCATGGGTGTTTTTCCTAACAGAATATAGGAATCAACATTACTAAAATTGCAATGAAATRTGTTTAAATAAAAGGTTATAAATAAATGGGTTCACAGTACTTTTTGATTATTTSATGTGCAGCTGAACAGCCATCAAGATGAATTCAGAACTGATTGCATCAGCTTGAATATAATCTAGAAAGGAATGAATGGTACATAAAAGAATAAAAATTCATGTATGGAGAATGGTGGGAAATTTTTGGGAAAAATGTTTTACTTGTGATAGCTTTGTTAATCTTCAGGTTCTATATTCACAACTTTTGTGGGAGTATATGGTGCATTTTCGTCTTTTTTTCCCTTTTATCTGAAGGTCTGAAYTCCATTCTTTTTGCTATCAACATTGACAATAAGGATTTAAATGGGCAGAGCAAATGCACACCCACTGTGTCTGATTTGTTAAAGGAATCCACACAAAATGTAACTTCATTATTCAAAGAGTCCACTCAGGGTGTCAGCAGCCTCCTCCGGGAGATCACTGCCTCRTCTGCAGTCTCGATTCTCATCAAACCTGACCAGGACTCTGACCCACTGCCTGTTCTCTCAAGGAATGTAAATGCTGGTAAGCTTTTGTGCAATGTTAGTGCCATTCAGAAACTTAAAAAATATTCAAGTGGGTTTAAAGAACTTTTAGATTTACTTTTAATGCACTATTATAGAGCAGAAGTCCCAAAATCAGTGCACTACACATACCAACTAGTTGAATGTGTAATTAAAAAGCATGAAATTAGAAATACTGGGTGGGAATGCAGGATAATAACTCTGTATTTCAGCATTCTTGYATCACTGTGAGAGGGAGGCTAAACTGTCTTATTGGTAGTGCTCTGCTTGTGACCTGAATTTCAGTTTCTTATTCATAAAATTTATRCTTTGGAGTTTGTGATGTAACTATTTTTCATTTTTAATGTTTTCTTTTGGCACCTTGCYAGTCAGACATACACAGACATATATCTGTTGTTATATATCTGAGACAAATCTTAGCTTCTAATCTTCTTCAAGTAGTGCCTGTGTTTACTGTCTGAATTCCTATGCAAAGCAGGTAATTGCCAAAATGAAAATTTACCCATACACTCTTTACCCTCAGAGGTTTTAGTTTTACAGCCAGCTTGTATGATGTTAATTACTAACAAAGATCCAAAGTCTCTTATAATTTGAAACCAGTCAAGCAAAATGTGATTTTCATTATATATTTTCAGTTCCAAAAAGAGCAAAAGAATAATTTTTTATCTTTGTTTCTGGAAGTTGAGCTAAAAGTTTGTTTTGCTCTGTAAAAGTACAAAACTGCGGGAAGATTTACGTGCTTTTCAATTAAGAAACAAATTCTGAGTTTAGACATTAAATTGTTTTGGTTGTGAGAAAAAGGCACAAAACCCACAGGTGAATCTGGTAGGAACAGAAGTTGTAATAAAATCTGGTTTTTATTGGCATTTAAGGTTGATTTTATTTCAGAACATGTTTTTAAAAACAAACTTTTGGTGAAGGTTTTGTTGTTCAGCACTTAAATGAGATTAAAATCCTAGGTGATACTTGACTTGGGAGAACTTTGTTAGTATAGAATAGGCTTGCAAGATGAAATAAGACAGTAATTGACCATATGGTGCATATGACTGCACAACATGATGTACCTTWTGTGTACAGTACATATGTAAACTCAACATAAAAGGTACAACTTTCAATAAAATGTCACTTTAAAAAGACTGAGTTTGTTGAAATGCAATYATATGTGGAATGTTAGAGCAAGTCAGATGTTTTCATTAAAGTCTGTGCTCTTTTTTTGAATTCTATTTGCAATCAGAATGAGTTTTAGCATCCTCTTAAAAGTATGTTGGTGTGTTTTGTGGGTRTATAACAGCTGGACTTGAATTAAACAAAGCAATTTAGTCCCAATGATAGGTGTCTTGGTGAGTAGATTTCTGATATTTCCTAGAGTGCTTCAGCTTTGCATTTAGCTTCATGTGCACACCAGATTCAGTGAGAATAGGTAACAGTTTAAAATAAGTGCTGTCACTGAATGCAKCTGGTGTAATCAGAGAGGCTTTCAGTGTATTTCTAGACCAATAGGTAATTAGCTGAAAACTGACTGTTCAATTTTTAAAGTTTATGCAAAACTAACTATTTGATTGCAGGTTGTGGATTTTGTTTGTGTTGTGAGTTTGTTTTTTGTAGTTTTTTTCTCTGAAAATGTTTCCTGTTTAGTCTGTTGCGCAAACCTGCTCTGCATTGTACAATGGGTGTATTCAATGGGAGAAAGTGACAAGAAGGCTAACTTTTTATTTTAAATTTGATTTCATGAGTTTGTAGAGCTTTTTCTTTCCAGTTTCAATTGAATCATATTATGAATGCATCTTCAAAATGTCTTTTAAAATCTGAATTACGTAAGGCATATATAATAAAGCAGAGATTTAAAAGCTCATGTGTATGGAAAGGTAATGAATGACATATAGATCCAAGCATCTTTTTCTTTACTGGAGTAATGTAGTACATGAGCTCTTTCAAGGAAAGAACAGGTTTCTTATATTGTTTCTCTCTTCTAAATATGTAAAACTTCGTATTACTACTAGATCTGAAGCATAAAAAAGATCGAAAAAAGAAGAAGAGAGTGACTAATATTATCTCATTTGATGAAGAGGAAGATGAGCAAAATTTGGGGGATGGCACGAAGACTCTGACTACAGGAGAAAGTTCAGAGGAGAGCATAGACAGATCTTCAGTTCTTGCATTATCCTCATCTGAACACACTCTTGGAAGAAACCTAAATGGGAGTGAAAGTAACCACTCGTGGAAGAGTGATTCAGTATTCATGAATGGAGAGTATGAATACCAGAAAYTGGATGTGAAGAGCATTGATGATGAAGATGCAGATGAGGTTGAGTTGTATGGAAAAACATTAGGAAATAAAGGCACAGAAGGTGAAACTAAAGCTTCTGAAAAGTAAGTATTGGTGCAGGAGACAAGAGTAAGCTTTCCATGCTTCCCCACCATGCCTCCCTTTCCTTCATGGGTACTGGCAAACTGGTGTGTTAAATTGAACTGTATAGATTTTCTCTTTTTTCCTCCTTTCCTCCTCCCCCACCTTTTTTTCCCCTCTTTTGTTTTTTTCTTTTTTTTTTCCTTTTTACTGTTGAAATCATATAGGCCACCGTGGCGATGGTATTTTGCTTCTAAGATTCACTGAAATCCCAAATGTTGAGATTTCAGACTTCTTGTTCTCCTTAAAGTTCTCAGTTGTTAAAGTTGTTGCATGATATAGCCAGGTTATAATTCTGGCCTACTTGATGCTTCCTTGTTCTTAGTACAATAACAATTTTATTTTGGCTTCACAGTAGAAATGTGTATTTTAAACAGAGTAAGCTTGTTACATAGAGTAGATAGTTAAACAAGGCAGGACAAACTGAGAGAAAAARGAATTTTAGRTGCTAATATGTTTGCTTTATTTCTGACASAGAAATYATTTGGGGAAAAAGGAAAGCACTGTTTGCYTCATCTGCTTTGGAATTTCTGATCTTTAATGAATTAGTGTATGGCTGACCAAGAGATTGAAATAAAGATTTTTCTTGCAGTGGTATCTCTGAAAGAAATAAAAGCACTGTGGACATTAATACTGACTGTGTAAATAGATTGTTTTGTTTGTTTGTTTGCTCCAAATAGGTTTCATGAAACAGTCACATGCAATTCTCAGATATGCAGTTGGACTCCTCTGCAGGTTCTGAATGATGACTCAGATGTTCTATTTCCTGTCAGTGCTGTTGGCTCTTACTCCCAAACAGGTAGGCACAGAATTCCAGCAACCTTTATTCTAGCATGGGACAATGGTAATCAAAAACAGGATGGTAAAGACATAGGATATACTGCACAACTGGGACTAAAAGTTCAATTAAAATTTTTTCATATCTGGATCAGAGTTCTCCATTTGATCAGTTACTTAGTTAAGGAGGATTTATCAATGTCAAAATAAACCAGAGTTTTGTTGGTATTAAGCTGTGGTCTTGTATTTTGTTAAAGTTTAGGATAGTTGAATAGGAAGTGTCCATATTCATTTCTAGATATCACTAAGCTGCAAGAAACTCCAAGTGTGTTTGAGAACTTTAATTCAAATTAATCTTGACAGATTGGTGAGCAGCTGGAAGCAGTTCAATAGAAGCTGTTAACTGTTTAAATACAGGATAAAGAATGACCAACTAGGAAATACTTGCTCAGGAAAGGATGTTGGAATTATAGAACAGTTTGGGTTGGAAGGGATCTTCAGAGATCATTTATTCTAAGATTGCCTTTCTGAGCTTTGAGCACCAGTTGCCAGCTCACATCTAATTTTTCATCTGCCAGTATCTTCACATTGTTCTCTGCAGCTTACAAGCTGATCATGAATTAGCAGAGCTGTGCATAAATGAAAGTGTCATTTGTAAATTTAGGCTCCATTGTCTCTGCTGTGGCCTCAGCTGCMGTGTTGTACACAGTGGGGGGTACTGCACTTCAAAAATGATGTGGACCATTTGAAGCAAGAAATAAAAATGGTCAAAGGAATGGAAAAGAAGACCTGGTGCTTTTCCAGTGTCTATATTGGTTCCAAAAGCGAAATAATTCTGCCAGCCTTCCTGTTCACCCTGTCAGTTTTTTTTCTGGCTATTCATAAAACACAGTTTTTACAGAACTTTGGGTATACTCATTTCAGTGACCGTTTAAAAACTTCTCAGTGGCATTCAAATAATGTTTTTTGCATATACATTATGTGTCTAAGAGTTTAAATGGACTGTTGATTGAAGGCCTGTGAAAAAGTGTAATTCAGTTCCCTAAGTTTAGTGATAAAAATGTGAATCATAAACTAATGCTGTACTGCCCTCTGCTGTATTTTAAAATATGTACCTCATAAGAAATGCCAATGAGTAAAAAAAAAAAGTAGTACATTTACATTTTTTTTGCTGCCACATTTTTCAGTTCATAAAGGAATTTAGAAAACATTGAGTAATTTGTGGCATTGTGGTCTCTTAAATTTAATACATAAACTGTGGGGGAACATCCACAGGTTGAAATCTGGAATTCAAGTAACCATTCCTGTTTATGGGGGGTGTTGTGTGGAATGGGAACTCAGAAGTTGCTGTCAGGAGATGTCACGAGGCATCAGGAACATGAGCTGGGGGTTTGTACCTGGAATCAAAAATCAGGAGTGTGAGCCAAGCTTCGTRCTGGAGGCAGATGACCAAAGACGGTGTCTGTGTACATCTGTGTACAGAACTGTAACAGGGGCTGACTCTTACTAAGAGGATAGCAAAGCCCCTTGTTTTGTGTTGCTTCATCTCAGAATTGTTTTGAATACAATCCTCAGCCTGATCAACAGGCCCATTCAGATCCCTTCTGGCACAGGAGGGATATTTTCAGTTCTCCTTTTGTCTCTCTTTGTGGTCTGTCATGCGAGTCAGAGYGATACAACATTGAGCTGGTGAAAGGAATCAGTTCCTCAGTTCCTCAGTGCTAGGAAAGCCCCCCTAGACCCTGCTGGCTGTTCTCCTGATCTCACCTCTCTGCAGCAGTGAGGAGCTGATGGAGCGTGCAGGGAGGGCTGCACTGAGTRGCTCATTGTGCAACCCAAGTGTCAGCCAGTCAGGGACAGGGATACACACGGATCCAGGCACTCTCTCCTCAGCCACACTGACAGTTTGCTGAGATTGAAAGCTGCCTTAGGCACTTGTTTGCTTGAAKTTGGAAGTTGCACTTGTACTGGATGAATGATGTCAGAAGGAACGTTCATTAGCTTATTCTGAGGGCAGCCCAGCCCAGTAACTGTCAAGCTCATTGTTTTCATGATATTTTTGTTAAAACCTGCTTAATGAACTCTTGTTATATATATCTATATATCTGTATATCTATATCTTATATATTTGGTTTATAGGTCTTAATACTGATAATAACCTATCTATATTTGAAATAGAGTACAGTATAATCTATGGTGTTGTATGTTAATTTGTGCTTTCAGTATTAGTCTGTTGCAGTGCTCCAGGGATGTGTCAGGGCATATCATATCTCCATGTAACTAGAAATGAGAAAGCCTCCGTCAAAACTCAGTTGCTCGGAACAAAAATGGAGTATGTATTTTAGGAACTGAGCTTCGGTAAACTCTGCAGCTTCAAAAAGAAATTTTCTCCTCCATAGACTTTCTGACATAACTCTTATTTCCCATCACCTTCTTTCCTGGAATTTCTGCTTTTTAAWTCTGTGCTCTTTAGGATTGTCTTTTAGTAACTTTGTAACTTTGTTATTGTGAGATGCAGAAAACATAAATAAAATATCATTTTTGTTTGTTTCCACCTGAGCTTCCTTAATGACAGGCTCAGTGATGTGGATGTTTTGCTGCCGACAGYTGTGGATCTGTGGACAGATGCGCATTATTCATGCTTTTTAAACAATATCTYGTCTGTCTGATTCCTGATGGTTGGYACAGAGMCACGAGGAGCCAGAGAAAARCYATGGTGCTCTGTTGGGAATACTGAGAGCACTGGWGTCTTTTCAAGATTTCATGTGTTGGGAGCTAACAACAGATTCTTCCTCTGGAAGCCACAGCCAGATTTGTACTGAGCATCAGGTGCCATGTGGTGTTTCAACTCCAGGGGCTTTCAAAAGTAACTTCAGGAAAAAGTCTCCTCATAGCTTTGTTACTCTGTACGTATAAAATGTAATTTAGGAATTGTGCAATACTATTTTTTTTAAGATTGCTATGTTCCTAAGGGACTTCACAATCCTGCTGGCTTTCAGGGTGAGTTTGTAGAAGCCAACTTTGGAGACAGGATTAAAAGTGTTTAAGAGCTTAAGCAAGTTGAGTGTTTCTGTTTAAAAATGTAAATACTTTACTTCTGGATTTATGCTTTTATTTTTTTTTAAGTTCTATTGCCCAAAGAAAGCTAATGCTTGTGCATTCTGCTTTAGATAACTTGGAGAATGGAGAGGGCCATGAACATGTTCACCCGGTAGAACTGGTTCCAAGAAGATCTGATCTTCCTTACAGGTATGTGCCARACATGTTTTTCTTAAAAGAAAAGAACCTTCACTCTGTAGCTGTCAACTTATTGTTACCTAGTGCAGTTAGGACTGGAAAACCAACTACACATCAGGGTGCTTCTGCAAATGTTTGGAAAGACAAATGCAAAAAACCTACAAGTCCCTTTTTGCATATTTTCGTGTACTGAACTTTTCCTAATTATCTTGAAGAAGCCAGGCAGTCATGTCAAGTAACAGACTTGGCCTCCTGGCTTTGAAAATAGGTTTTATGTTGGTTTTTATATTATTTTTTACTATATTCTCCATGGCCTTTTTATTTGGAWTTTTTCTGTGTCTTCTTAATTCAGACTTCTACATTCAGACTTAGGAGATACACTAAAGGATAGTCCAGCATATTTTAATTAAATATGGGTGAATAGGATACCAATTCTAGTTTCTGGAATGTTTTTTTCTTATGTTTTGAATTCAGGATTTTGTTTTCATATATTGATTATACTCTACTTTTATGACTAGAGTGGAAGCCAGTCCTCCAGCTGAAGTGAATACTTTAAGCAATATGTTGCCTTCAGCCACTGTGCCAGAATCCATGACAATTAGTAAGTACTTCCTTGATGTATCAAGATTGATGGAAGTAACTTTGAAAGTTCTGTAACTCGTTCTGTATTTGTTTCAGTCAGATCTGCTTGGAGAGTCATAGTCCACTTAATTTCTGATGTGCTGGTCACATTAGTTATAAGTGCTCTAAGATTATGTTTGTGTTTGCAGATCCCAGGTTATGCTTCATTGCAGYTGATAAGTCCTTATATTAAGTGTGGCTTCAGTAGTTAAATGAAAAATAATGATTTGGTTAACATCTTCCAATTTTTACAAGTTCTAAAAACCCTGAGGGTTGGTTCCAATGTGGTCTTCTTATTTTGGCTSTTTTCATTAATCCCTGGTCAGAAACAAACCAACCCACTCTTTGTGTGGTTTTGATATGAAAATCTCATAAATCCCATATCCAAACATGAATATGGGCTTTCATATACAAAAACTTTAGTTAAGATTAATGTGGAGGGCRGTCATGTTTCTGTGGTAGTGAGAGGAGAACCAGGCAGGATCAAATAGCCTTGCTGTAGAGATAGATAAATAGAAGCAAGGCAGTTTGTTTATCACATATTTGATCTTTTTTCATCACATCAACTTGCAGAACAAAGACTTAGTTYTTAAAATGAGTGTCTAAACATGTAAGCCAGTATGTGTTTATGTTCCTCACTGTACAGAATGTTCTGTAACTGAACTGGCTTTGTTCCTAGAGCTCTSGGGTGTGTGTTTGTTTCTTATAAATTTCAATATGTACAAGTTTTAAATGATGACATTTGGAAGTTAGAAGTGATGCAACCAAGATTCTTTTGTGCAATTGATTCATGCAATCGTCAAAATGAATGAAATCTTAAGATACTCTAATTTCATTTCCTAAAGTCATATTCAAATGCTTTAACCTGTATTAAAGGAGATAAAATAAGCATTTTCACTGGGCAGTGTTTCAGGCTCTGCCACTGATCTGCTGACTGAGTTTCGCAAAACTGAAAAATCCTTTCTTGCCAAGTACTTCATGAAGTGAGAAACAAGTTTGAGACTTATAAGTGCCAGAAATGAAGTGTAGAATGGACTCACTGTTAGTTATAGTGCTGCTTTGGTCACTAGATACTCTCTGCTAATGTTATTCCTACAATCCTTTTGCCCTCACATTTTTATTTTGTTTYTCAGTTAGAGAACTGCATGGGGCAGTTTTCTGGTGCCCCTGCACTCTGTTGATTCTGCTCTTTGTAGGGGTGTCAGGTACCAGCAGGGGCCGCAGTTGGTCTCCTTCGGCTGCTCAGTTATTTCCTAGTGTAGGTAAGGCAGCTATAAAATAGAAAGAAAATCTGGAGATTTTCAGTTCTCAATACTTAGCAATTTGTAAATGAAATGAAAACACAGGGTCAACAGAAGCATGCACATTATCATTAGTTTCCCCTTTCAGAGAAGGATTTGGTGGAAGGAAGGGTGGGAAGCATGTTAAACCCATCTATAAAGCCAGTAGAACATTTAATAAATAATCTAATGATAATTATAATAAAAATTCAGCTGACYATAAACTTGCAACATTATTCAATACCTTTATAATAGCTGATCCTGGGTATGTTGTATAAAAATGCTTTTTTCAAGTTTGTTGTTATTGGTTATAGATTCTCTACAGGAAGAATCCAGTGCTATGACAAAGTCAGACACAGAAGCTCTTTCTCTCTATTGCAATTAGCTGAAGAATTATTAAATGCTGAGGCTTATAGCTTGGTTGCGTAGCAACTGATCCTAACACATCAGGCAAGAAAAATGGAATGCAGTTGTGCAGTGAGAAAAGCTGTGAGGTCTCCAGTGACTGGATTTTTGTGTTTCTTACTTCTGAAGACAAAGCCTGAAATTATTTAAAAAAAAATTATATTCTTTCCCCATTTTCTTTCCAACCTGTTAGTACAATACTAAACTTTTCTTACTTCTTTTGATATGCAGGCCAGAAAATTATGTTATGAGAAGCTGTAATTTTAAATTTCTGCCATTTTAAATTATTTTCCTGAATTATGTCSCCTGCATTTGTAAGGCATAGGTTAACTTAGCAGCAGATACATCTCAAAAAATACTAATACCACTTAAGATAAATCCTAATCCATAGTTTTGCTGTTTGGATTAGGCATAATTTGAAAACTTGCTCTGCTTAGCAATTGTTCAGTCATAACCAATTTTATAAAGAGTTAAGTTGGTCGTAAGTTTTCTATTTATGTATCTACTTGACTACGTAATTTTTCAGTGTTAAAAACGTTGTGTTTTTCTTATTATGCTTGAATCACAAACAGCTGTTCGAAGTGTTGCCATTGGAAGATTATATTTTCAGCATTGTTTTTCACCAGAACAATCTGCCTTACCAGCACAAGTCTCCCCATTTTGTTTTTGCAGTAGAAAAAAAAGAAGGCCTAAAACTTTCATTTTAGAAGGATGCTGCTTGTGTTCTTCTTTACAAGCTTCTTTTATTATAGTACTATTTTTAGGAAGTAATTGGTAATTTAGTTTTWTCACTATAATTTTCTTCAGTTTTTAAAATTGGGCTTGACCACAAAGGTTGGGAAAGGTCATAATATTATACATAATTCCATATTTTTTCATATATTCTTGAGAAATCCTGAGCTTTTCACAATCACTGAACAACTTTACTGAATAATCAAACCTCCGTGTTATATTTTTATCCTGGTTGTGTAAGTGAATAAGGTGTGTGTTTTTGTACTTTCTGTGTCCTCTAAATAGCTTCTGACCTGTTCTGTACCCAGCTGCCCCAAGTCACAGGCAGGTACTAAATTCTTGTGGCTTCTTTGAAAGCCCAGCTGTGGAAAGAGGGAGTTTGTATTTCATCAGGGAGAGGAAAGAAAGCTGCAGTTCGCTTTAAAGACTGGGTTCTCACCAGAACCCTTTTATAAARGAGAAGGCCAACACAATTTGTTTCCTACTAAAATTTGCCCTGTGAATAGTGACATGACAGGATAATATTTACAAGATTTTTGAGCACTAAATTAAGCCTTAAAAGCAGTGTTCATGTAGGCAGCTTAGGGAGCATAAAGCTCTTTATGTCTTTAAAGGTCAGGCTTCTGATTTAAGATGTAACAAGTCTGCTGGAAGTTTTATTTGTCTCTGAAAATATCTGTGTAAATTTTCACTCATGAAAATAAAGGAAAAAAGATTCCTGTAAACTGCTTCCAGCCCACCCTGATATTCTATCTGCAGGATTGCAGAGGAGGCTGCGTGACCTTGTGTAGTCTGAGGGATAATTTCACTTACAGCTCATTCTTCACAACAGGTGATTGCAAATCATACTTCTCAATCTTTGGCTAAACAGCAGAAGAGTTGTGAAACTTATGACTTTTCTGGAGGTTGCTGGAAATTGGCAGGTGTTTCTTAAAACATTATATATTTCATGCTCTRTGACCTTATGAAAGCTTTCTAGAAGCTAGATTTTGCATGAAGTATGGAATTGAATTTAAAAATGTTTTAGAGCAGATATTMATTTTATGAGTAATTAGGAACCACAGATTAATCTCAGCAATAAAAAAGATTTTMAGTGTTTGAAAAAGTGGAATTTAATGCAAAAAATATAATTGATTTTTATGTTATCCTTTTTTGCTGATAAAGAATGGCTTGGAATTATTGGTTTGCACATAGGAATCCTTTTTTTAAGAAGTTAAGAAAATATCTTTTAAAGTTACATAATATGAAAGTTCACTAGTTATCTCTGTTATTATGGAGCTCTGATTTTCACTTTATGTTTAGATATGTTGGTGTTGAACGCTGCTCCTTAATAACAGTAGTGTATTGCCTTTCATTAATAGAAGTTTACAGAACATAATGTCATCAAGCACAAACAGCTCAGAAGTAGGACATAAAGTCTAACATCAAACACTTTTCTGAAGTAGGAATACTTGGCCAGTCTTCCACTGTTTTATTGAAGAAAAAAAAAGGAATAAAATAGAAGGGAGAAAGAAGGATTGAGGTTGCATAGTCCAGAAGGAGGAAAATGCCAAATTTATGGTTGCTGCTACAACCCTGACTTTTTTTTTTATTTTTTTCAAATTTATTCCCTTTTCTAACCCACACAATGTATGAGACATAAGTCTGCTGGAAAAATTAGGTTAAGATCATACAGTCATCTTAGAGGCAAGTGTATCAGACAGACAAAAGCTCATGAACTGTGGATGTTCTGGCAGGTTTGAARGGAACCTGCTGCAGTGTGTGATACTGGATTTCCTTTGTTTGCATTCAGCTGACTGCTCTGACAGGCTGCTGTAATTTTTCAGGAAGCATAAGTGAAAGTAAGAAATTAATTCAGATATAATATTTAAAGCTTTCAAAAATTATAAATAAGATGGTTTCCTTTTAATTCCGTTCAGTTCCTTGCATAAAAGGTAATGAAATTAAAGTTTCTGTGTTTTTTTTTCTCGGTAATTTTTTACTCATTTAATTACAGTAATAATGCTTTACTCTCTTGGTTTGCTCTTTTGCTTTACTGCGAATAGAGAGGTTAAAGAAGTGTTGGTGATAAACTGTATAGTTCTTGTGTTTGTTTTGAGTAATTTATAGAAAACATGACTCCTTAATACTCATCACTTCCAGAAGAAGGAGCATAGCTGTAGCCATGGAGCAATATTGCTGCTCAGGTAGGCTCAGGCCAGAGCAGCCTTCTTGGAACTCTGATCCCTGAGCCCAGACTGGTGGTTTGTGTTGGTGCTTTCATCCACACCTCCACTGGTATCTGTCATTGAACTAAATTAGCAAGAAATACCGAGTRTGAAATGTGTTTGCTTTTGTGGTCCTAAATTAAGCATTGATTTTTACCCTATATGTGATAATGAAATTTGGAGTTTATGATTTATTGTGTCTCGATATTATTGTCAATTGCATGACTCTCAGAAAAATGAGGCAAATGGAAATAAATAAGCATTTTAAAGTCTTCTATTTTAAGAGGCTCTTTTTCTTCTTCTTTTGTGCAAACCATGGTCTTTCGCAGAATCTTGCTTTTGTGCTCTSCTTGTGTGTGTGGAGGGGAGAGAGGAGTGAGAAAAGATGGGATTTCAGGTCTCTCTACTCACAGGGAAGATTCTGGATGGAATAAGGAAAAGAAGATTAAGTTATTAGCCAAGTTAAAGTAATGATTTGAATAGGCTTGTAAAATTGAAGAAATGAAGACAATTTTTAATAGCTTAGCTGTATAAATGTTAATAAATACACATTAAAATAATAAATACACACAGGCAATTATTGCAGAGTGGGCACCCCCATGTAAGTGCAGAGCCAGCACTACAAAAAYGTGTCTGAGTAGCAACAGCTTTAATGTATTCAGAGTTAGAGACATAATAGCAGCTACTTGTTGATCATGCRCGATCATATTTTAATGGCACACTTGAAATATTTAAAATGCCATCAGCTTGATGCTTCCTGGAGGAGGATTCTGAATTGAACATTATATTTCAAATCTTTTTTTTGTTTTGGAGTGTTACTGTACAGAAAGCTTACTCTGGATGTTTTTGCTTGTATTGTATATTKGTATGATGCTCTAACAGTTGCTGGATTATTTGTTTTCTGCATCCTTAGAGCAATTGTTTATTTCACAGATAGGCTGATTTAATACTGAAAAATTTCACTATTTTGCTATTAGTTTTTATAAAAGATTTTGATTTTTTTTTTCTTTTAGGGTTACATAGAGAACCCATAAAAAATGCTGTTACTGTAGAAAAGTAATTGTTCTTTCTATGCTGAATTAATGAAGTGCAAACTCCCTCTAATGACCTACTGAAAGGTTTCTTGCTAATGTCAATTAGCTCTTAAGCTGTAATGTGGATATTATGGAATGGGCAGAAAAATGATCTTCTGAGTTCTCCATGGCCAAAGAAGCAGGAATGTTTGGAAAAAATCTAGCACAAAGAAATTTGGTTTGGCTGATGCGAAATGATATGAGAGCTCTGCTGAATCCTGCAGTCCTGCAAGGGTGGATTTACCTGCACATTACCGGGGCCAGATTGGAATTGAGGTGTCTGCAGCAGTAACWGATATATTTCATTGACATAACAAAACCTTTTACGTTTTATCTACTACTAGAGTTTGTCAGACTCTGGTCCACAGGACATTGTTAGGTTGTTGTTAAATGGCAATAGCTTCTGTAACTGCAGAAGATATGAGGAAAGATACAGGTAAACCTGTGAACTAAATGTAAAGGGAAACAACTTGTCCAATGTCTTTGCTTGCTTGAAGAAATCAAGTAATACCAGCTCTGTT